ACACAGAAAGACAAATGGTTAATTATGAAACATTATTATGGCGGTCAGTTTTCCAAAATTACATTTGTTGAACCAGGAAGTGATGTCACATCCTTCCTCCAGGCAGTTTTGGGATGAATGTACATCATTAATCAAATTGGCATTATCCCTTACAAGATCTAATCTAGTTTAGCAGGTTTGGGGTCAGTTATTCTACAATGGTGTTTTTTGTGCTGGGAACTCTCAATATCTAAATATCCTACTATTTTGTTTTTGGGCTATACCCAAATTAATAATCAAATTATTATTATTATTATTAAATTGCTTTTGAATCTCTCTGTTCTAATCCATCACATTAATCTAGGCTTTAATCTAACTACACTCATGGACTTTTTGCATTGTCAAACATTCACTCATTTTTTGAACATCAAGTGAATTTTGACAGTACTAATAAAACTGTGCATAAATCTGTAATTAACTTGACTACTTTTTGAATAAATGTTTGTGAAATGGGCCTTTTACCGTTTATATTGAGCACTGACTAGAAATTATTCTCTATTTTTTGAAAGTATCTATGGTTGATGTGCTTTTATCCTATTTCTATTTTTACTCTATTGTGAACTCTAAAGCTCGTTGCAGCTTGACCATGAGCATATTTATCAAATTGTGACTCTGTCACTTTTCAATGTCTCTAAAATAACTCAGATCAATATTTTAGCTGCTCTTCAGAAGGATAAAATTGTATAGTTATGAGTTTAACTCTACGTGGAAATGTGTTTTATGAAAAACAAATGGAAGTCAAATTTTACTTTTTTTACTACTAGTTAACATCTACTAAAACGCTAACAATACTCATAATACTTTATCATTTTAAAATCATTTTAACAGTTGCTCGTCCTCCCAGACTAAAAAGTCAAAGTTTTTGTCTGTCAAATGTCTGTAATACTTTCCATGTGTTGCATTTGGTCCAGTTGTGGTTTCTGGTTGTAGCATAGCATCGGCAATAGATGGTTTTTCAGTGGCTGGTTCTTGTTCTGCAAATGTCTGTGTCCAATAGATCTTCAGATGTCCAGAAGCTAGAGACAAACACAAACAATGAAAGAATCATGAGAATCTTCTCAATTTAAGCCACTCATCTATGTATATTTTAAATATAGTAACATCATCCCCATTTTTCTCTCCAAGGTCTTCCAGATCCTTCAGGTCCTCATTCCTCAGGGTCCTCAAGGGTCCCCTGAGGTGAGTCTCAGTCCGTCATCAGTCAGGGTCATAGAGAGATTCATCTTGGACATCAGTAGGGTCAACGAGCCATGGTTTTGGTCTCTCCAGATGCTTCAGTCAATTGGGTCGCTCTTTGCGATGCCACTTCTGGTCAATGGTTGCAGTGTCACAGTTCCCTGTACACAGCTTGTTTATGCTGTAGTTACTCTCTATGGTTAAGTCAATTTGATTTAATTTAAGACAATTCTATTCATGCTGATGCTAATGTCCCTCAGACAAAAGCGCAAGTTTACTTCGCGAATTTGTGTTTTTACAGATCTTATCCTAATCAATGTAATTTTACTTGTTACTTCAAAACAACAAATTCTCAAGAACAGCCAATTAAGTCCATGCCTATATAGAATTCCAAATGAAAATTTCTGGTCTCAAAAAATACTGATATCACATAAAGATTCAAGTGATAGACAATTAAATATTTGTTTACATTGGAGTCACTTGTTAACGCTTTTTTTTCTCATGTTCTTGGCTTTTTCATGTATCTATGTTTAAATTGAATGTGTGAGTGTGTAGATGTTGTGTGTGTGTGTTGTGGTGGATGTGTGTTTTGGGGTTTGTCTCCAGACTCCCTGGAACCCACCTGTAGGTGTCAAAGTCACACTGTGGGTATGTAAACCATCTGGACCACCTCAACTCTCCTCAGCGTCTCTCCCTGATTCTCCACCATCACGTCTCCAGACACCTCTCTCTGGCCCCGCTCTCTCTCACACCCACTCAGTTCTGGAGTGGCGTGTGGAGGGGCAAGGAGGTGCATTTTCCTTTTGCTCTTTGACTGTGCCTGGGTGGCGTTCTGGAGCTCCTGTGGTCTGAGCTCTCAGCTGAGTTTACACGGAGACAAATGTGGCAGTAAAACGTATAGTTGAATGTCCGGTTTCTACCAACCGTTCATACGAAGACTGTGTTCCAGGGGGTCAAAACGTAAGTTGTTCAGATCCAGCCTGCAGAGTGGGCGACAACTCAGAAACGCTGCACAGCGGGAGCTCTTTTCACACCCGCGAGAGGGGTTAAGGTCTGAATTCCCCCTGCCTGACCCCCACCTCCGCGCTGCTCCCTGCACGTAAATTTGGACATGCCCGCAGTAGCGGTGAACAAAACATCAACAACAATGGCGGCGGTCACACTAACCTAGCTTCGAGGGCCTTTCAGCTGCGGCACAGAGGATAATTCTACTCCTTCGTTCGTCCAAACGAGACCACGCGAAGCTCTAGGTTCAGTTTCCGTTTTCACAGCTGCTGTTAAAATGCAGAATGATGTTGGTACGTTCTGAGGGTCTGGCACAGAAGTGAGTACACTGCCGAGGGGGGGGGGGGGGGGGGGGGGCTGGGGTCGTGTGAGTGTTGTAAAGTTTTCTCTGCCCACTACTGGCCAGGCGCTAGAACTACATCGTTTTTCACCTCATGTGAACGTCAGAGAAATTTTTGCATTAGACCTGGTCGTATTCTGTTCATAGCCTGGAAACGTCTGCGCAGCGTCTTCAGTATAAACAGGGCCTCAGTGTCCCACTCCCGTCAGTCCAGTGGCCCCTGTTACAGTGTGTGCCCTTGGTCCCTGGGAACACAACCTTATAGTCAAATTCAAAACAACAGATATCAGTTGTTGAATGAGATTGTTTTTCTCTCTAACAGTCCTAAACAATTTTGGAGCGCTCTTGGCTTTCCAACATGCGCTATATAAATAAAGATGACTATTATCTTAACTAATGATGACATTTTAAGAACCAGAAACTCTCTTAATAAAATAAACAAGACTCAAATCCTCAAAAAAACCTTCAAACTTTAAAATATGTATTATGTACTTTTGTACTGTGTGTTTAGTTATCTATGCATCCTTGGGTTTCTTGAAAGACGCCATGAAATGAAATTATGAAAAATCTTCTATAAAAAATGAAAATTAATTGTAAAAACATTAAAACATAACTTGAAAACATAAATCAAATTCAAAAGGATTAAACTGGATTAATCACTTTATGGAATTTCCCTTTTACACCTTGAACATTTATCTCAGGATTTTATCTACTAATGTATAAATAATTGCAGCAGTTTTCAAATCAAGTCCAATAGGAATTGGAGCACATTTCAGATCAAGGCTCCTCTGCTGTGGCAGCAGCAGAGGAGAAAGGTCAGGTGCATAGTCAAAACAAAAAAGTCACGCTTGCAATGTGGAATTGGGTCATTGGGTGAAAGTTCAACTCAATATAATACTTTTACAGATAATCCTAGATTTCCCTCTTTCTTTTTAGACGAAGTCTATGATCAATAACACTTAAACACAGATTCTAATTTAAATGGTTGAAAAACGGCTTTTGTAACAAAATGGAAATACATGAAAAATATTCTCACAACAGTTTATGGAATAATATCGATAGATACAATTATGGACTGTCACACAGACGAGCACACACCACAGCAGAGAAGTAGTGTTTTAGCAAAAATGCAAAAACAGAAAGAAGATTAACCTTTCAGATTACTTTTTAAGCGATATAACTGATGTTGTAGGTTTATACTTTTGTCATCCAAGTCGAGAAGTGATCACTTTCCACACTAGTAACAGTTAAGGCACTCATACTCTTTAATTTCCCCTTATCTTCTATTTATCGAGTAGCAAACTAGTTTAAACTCAAAATCTCCTTTCTAAAAAACAAAAACAAAAAACACAACTGTTGGAACTACCCGAGCCGCGACAAAAAATATAAATAACTCACGAAAGCTAAAGGCTCACTGTAAATATAATTCTCTCATTCTCCGGTGAACACTGTTCACGCCAAAAAATAAACTAAAAAACTAAAACTCCTTTTTTCTGTATGTAATTTAAACCGTGATTCACTGAATGTAACATATTGTTGCCTTATGTACTTTTGTAATTTATCAGCCTGAAATTTGTTAATTTCAAAGCTTTTGTAACAAAGGCCTCTTTTCTCTTTCCCTTTTTATTGCTTTATTTTTACACCATGGTTTTTCACTAAAGATCCTTCACTTTATGGCCAAACACTTTTTGATCCTTCACTTTATCTGAACACTATTTAGAAGAGAGTTCGACAGACCTCAAAAACAGACCAAAATTTTAGCTAGTATCCAATTATAAGACTTTAACATATAAAAAGGTGTCTGCTTACCTTATTCTTGTCAAAACAGGTTTCCAAGGACTGTCCAAGAGGTCTGCTCCAACTCTTTCCGCGTCGAAAATTCAATTTAAACGCAAGTGAAAGAAGCACGACAAGAAGCATCCAGGAACAGCTCCTCCCAGCCTGCTGGAATCCCCGCTCCCAGACACAGCATCCGCCTTCTCTCATGCCGAGGGAAAATAAACAAGCAAACTCCCTCATAACAATCCAGAGAATGGCGCACAACTGAGCCGCGCATTCTCCACCAAATCTGTCAGGATGAAGCAGACAGAGACGGATCGTGGGTGCCCAAACTCTGGAATTTATCTAAGTTTTTCTCTCAAGTTCCAGTGGTTTCCATTGTTTCCTTCTCTCAGACAGAATAAAGGCAGTACACAGTTTTATATAGTGAGTGTCACGTCACACATGGAAAGACGTGTCACACAGAGACAGTCCATCATAGTCAAAATAACAGAGTCCTTGTAGAGGCCCTGCACTTAGGCCATATTCTATCTTATACTAACAAAATGGATCCAGGAGTAAGTCTTTTTTGTGTGATTTATTAAAAAGGTGAAGAAAAAAATCTTTTTCCTTTTCACATTCGAACAAGGAGGAAAGAGCTGTCTGGCCACGAACGTGACTCATGCAGCAGGCATTTGGCTCCATCCCCATTTGGCTCATCCCCACCAGTCACGAGTCATCTGTGGAGATAGATCACAGTCCGGTTCTCCTGAATGTCTGGGCTGTAAAATCATTTCTCGAGAATATATATGTACGTCTTGTGCACTTCTCTTTGTAAACTTCAAGCAAAGTCGTCCACGTGGTTTCTGTTGACTGTTTGTGAGATTCAATAACACTTTTAAGAACTTTTGTTAAAGTTAATTCATCATTCTAATCTATGGCAGAAGCCAGTACTTTTCCCTTGTTTTTGACTTCTGAAGGCCCCTAGCTACATGGCACCTCATGGGGAAGCTGCTGGATTGGAGGACTGCATTTCCCCATGCTGTATAATTACACTTGCATTCCTGTTGTGCTTTTGTTCGTCGCTGTCTCTACCAGCGACAATAAAACATGTCTTCTGTTGAATGAAAGACGGCGATCCCAGACTTTTGTCATCTTCTTCACTGTGTAAACACGTGTCAAGGTAACATTTATGTTGATTGCTTTATAAATACACGGTGATACACTCTGTGTCTTTAAAATATGCAAAAGGGAAGTATGACTTAGACTTTTTATGGAACAACAAAATATAGAGGTTTCTTTTGTATCGGAAAATACCAAGTGATGGAGAATCTGGAGTCCGAAAAGCCTGTGGCTTATAAATATTTATACAGTTTTAAACTGTTGAAGCATTTCTTCTTGAGATCGTCTTGGATCGTGTCCTACGATTCAGACAGAATACATGTTTTATGTTTGCTATAGCCAGCAGGAACACAAGCTCGACAGACAGCAAAGTGTATTATACAGCATTAGAATGAACACCGTCCAATCAGCTTTCGCCCACGATGCAGTAGCTTGGCCTTCAATGAGACTAACGTTCTGTGGAAAAGTAACTGGCATCCCTGCAATATGTTAGAATGAAGAGCTAGAACTTTAACCATAGTTGCCTCAATTATTCAAAGTGTTATGAAATCTCCACGTTTCTTTAATGATTTTTTATTAATAGTTGTGTTATGTTGTTTTACCAGGTGTAAGTCCAGGAAGACAAGACATGAGACAGAGTGGAACAAAATGAATGTACAATGTGTGGACCTCCGGATTGGTGTGTAGTGCGAGTGGGGAGGGGGGGGGGGTGGGGGGGGTGGGGGGGGGTGGGTGGGGGGGTGGACGATGGGTGATAGGGGTGTGCAAGGGGGGGGGGATGGGGTCCGGGAGGGGGGGGGGGGGAGGGGGCGGGGGTGTTGGTTTTGTGTGTGTGTTGGTTTGATAGCGGCGGTATTAGGCTCAACACACACACGGGCTGGAAGCCTCTCCAGTTAAAGTGGAATGAGTGAGGGTAAAAAAAGGACACAGAGTAGGGACACATGGGACCAGGAACAGAGAGATAAACAAAGATAAAAACAAAATCAAAGAGAGAAATAAGGCCCTCATAAGGAACCCGACTGAAATCTGTGTTTGTAGAAAAATAACATGAAAAAAAAGGGGGGAAAGCAGAACATTTATTTCCAGCAACACAGGCCCCCAAGCAGCTAATGTATCAAATTCCAACAACATGTGGAGAAATCTGAGACGGCAGTGGAAGTATCCACAAACCACAGGCTGGGTAGTTTGACCCTTGCCCCGAGAGTCCCATCTTCTTCAAGTACAAGTCCAGATGTAGAACATGAAATCCTACCATGACTTATATAAAGAATTAAATGAAGTACACAAGAATTAAATGAAGTACATCCAAAATACACAGAAGCAGCACAGCTCTTTGGGAGACAATGACAACAGTGAAGCCAAGAGCATTGAAGGTTCAGCAAACACAAACATCACAGGTGAAAGGAACGTGATGAAGAAGTGGATTTCTTGTGTTTTTAGCAACAACTAAGAAAAGGAAATCCAGCGGTTTCCCCAGAATCATCTTGTGTTCAAATGTAGTTATTGCTGCAGAAAGTATAACATATATCTTTATATATGATATACTTTTATACATGCTATTTAACTGTATTGTGTATGTGCAGTATATGTATTTGTGTAGACTATTTAAAACACATGTGACACTTTATACCTTTATACTTTCATAAACACATTTCTAAACATTTGACCCAACAAAAAAAAAAAAAAAAAAAATGGAAGAAGAAGGGTATGTGATCCGCAGCTTTGGAAACACTTTGATCTTTGTGCTTCATAAAGTCAGCAGCTGATTGGAGCAGAGGGAACATCTGCATGATCCCCGTGTAGAGCTCCTTCTACCACCGCAGCTGCTCCTGCTCCGTGCGATCGGTGAGTGTGTGTTATGCTAGTGCTGTTAGCGTTAGCATTAGCCACAGGCCGCTAGCATCTTTTACTGTCTGTTCAATGGACATTCATTCATCTGTTTACTTTAACCCTAATATTAACAGAGTTCTTGGAGCACGTTCACCTCCTGTTTATATTGTTTTCTTTTTATCTGTAATGTTTGTCCTTTATTTTATAAACAACTGTGTAGCACTGTTTAAAGCGCCTCTCGAGGACAAGAACGTCTATGTATTTGTTTTCACAATAGAACAAAACTATTGGATAGAAATGGTGTGATTGGCCCTCATTTTTTCACTGTTTCCCCCTCTCGTCTCCTCTCTTCCCCCTCTCGTCTCCTCTCTTCCCCCTCTCGTCTCCTCTCTTCCCCCTCTCGTCTCCTCTCTTCCCCCTCTCGTCTCCTCTCTTCCTCCTCTCGTCTCCTCTCTTCCTCCTCTCGTCTCCTCTCTTCCTCCTCTCGTCTCCTCTCTTCCTCCTCTCGTCTCCTCTCTTCCTCCTCTCGTCTCCTCTCTTCCCCCTCTCTTCTCCTCTCTTCCCCCTCTCTTCTCCTCTCTTCCCCCTCTCGTCTCCTGTCTTCCCCCTCTCTTCTCCCCTCTTCCCCCTCTCGTCTCCTCTCTCCCCCTCTCGTCTCCTCTCTTCCCCCTCTCTCTCCTCTCCTTCCCCCCTCGTCTCCTCTCTTCCCCCTCTCGTCTCCTCTCTTCCCCCTCTCGTCTCCTCTCTTCCCCCTCTCGTCTCCTCTCTTCCCCCTCTCGCTCCTCTCTCTCCCCCCCTCTCGTCTCCTCTTTCCCCCTCTCTCTCCTCTCTTCCCCCTCTCTCTCCTCTCTTCTCCCCTCTCTCTCCCTCTCTTCCCCTCTCTCTCCTCTCTCCCCCTCTCTTCCCCTCTCTTCCCCCTCTCTTCCCCTCTCTTCCCCTCTCTCTCCTCTCTCCCCTCTCTCCCTCTCTCCCCCTCTCTTCCCCTCTCTTCCCCTCTCTTCCCCTCTCTTCCCTCTCTCTCCCTCCCCCTCTCTCCTCTCTTCCCCCTCTCTTCCCCTCTCTTCCCCCTCTCTTCTCCTCTCTTCCCCCTCTCTCTCCTCTCTTCCCCTCTCTCCCTCTCTCCCTCTCTTCCCCCTCTCTCCCCTCTCTTCCCCTCTCTTCCCCCCCTCTCTTCCCCCTCTCTTCTCCTCTCTTCCCCCTCTCTCCCCCTCTCTTCTCCCCTCTCTTCTCCTCTTTCCCCCTCTCGTCTCCTCTTCCCCCTCTCTTCTCCTCTCTTCCCCTCTCTCTCTCCTCTCTCTCCCCTCTCTTCCCCTCTCTTCCCCCTCTCTCTCCTCTCTTCCCCCTCTCGTCTCCTCTCTTCCCCCTCTCGTCTCCTCTCTTCCCCCTCTCGTCTCCTCTCTTCCCCCTCTCGTCTCCTCTCTTCCCCCTCTCGTCTCCTCTCTTCCCCCTCTCGTCTCCTCTCTTCCCCCTCTCGTCTCCTCTCTTCCCCCTCTCGTCTCCTCTCTCTCCCCCTCTCTTCCCCTCTCTTCCCCCTCTCTTCTCCTCTCTTCCCCCTCTCGTCTCCTCTCTCTCTCCCTCTCTTCTCCCCTCTCTCCCCTCTCTCCCTCTCTCCCTCTCTCCCCTCTCTCTCCTCTCTCTCCCCCTCTCGTCTCCTCTCTTCCCCCTCTCGTCTCCTCTCTTCCCCCTCTCGTCTCCTCTCTTCCCCCTCTCGTCTCCTCTCTTCCCCCTCTCGTCTCCTCTCTTCCCCCTCTCGTCTCCTCTCTTCCCCTCTCTTCTCCTCTCTCCCCCTCTCGTCTCCTCTCTTCCCCCTCTCTCTCCTCTCTTCCCCCTCTCGTCTCCTCTCTTCCCCCTCTCTTCTCCTCTCTTCCCCCTCTCTTCTCCTCTCTTCCCCCTCTCGTCTCCTCTCTTCCCCCCTCTCTCTCCTCTCTTCCCCCTCTCGTCTCCTCTCTTCCCCCTCTCGTCTCCTCTCTTCCCCCTCTCGTCTCCTCTCTTCCCCCTCTCTCCTCTCTTCCTCTCTCTCCCCCTCTCGTCTCCTCTCTTCCCCCTCTCGTCTCCTCTCTTCCCCCTCTCGTCTCCTCTCTTCCCCCTCTCTCGTCTCCTCTCTTCCCCTCTCTCTCCTCTCTTCCCCTCTCGTCTCCTCTCTCTCCCCTCTCGTCTCCTCTCTTCCCCCTCTCGTCTCCTCTCTCCCCCTCTCGTCTCCTCTCTTCCCCTCTCGTCCCCTCTCTTCCCCCTCTCTCCCTCTCTCCTCTCTCTCCCCTCTCGTCTCCTCTCTTCCCCTCTCGTCTCCTCTCTTCCCCCTCTCTTCTCCTCTCTTCCCCCTCTCGTCTCCTCTCTCTTCCCCCTCTCGTCTCCTCTCTTCCCCCTCTCTCTCCTCTCTTCCCCTCTCGTCTCCTCTCTTCCCCCTCTCGTCTCCTCTCTTCCCCCTCTCGTCTCCTCTCTTCCCCCTCTCGTCTCCTCTCTTCCCCCTCTCGTCTCCTCTCTTCCCCCTCTCTTCTCCTCTCTTCCCCCCTCTCGTCTCCTCTCTTCCCCCTCTCGTCTCCTCTCTCTCCCCCTCTCGTCTCTCCTCTCTCCCCCCTCTCTCTCCTCTCTTCCCCCTCTCGTCTCCTCTCTCCCCTCTCTCTCTCTCTCTCTCTTCCCCTCTCTCTCCTCTCTCTCCCCCTCTCTCTCCTCTCTTCCTCTCTCTCCCCTCTCTTCTCCTCTCTCTCCCCTCTCCCCTCTCTCCCCTCTCTCCCCCTCTCGTCTCCTCTCTTCCCCCTCTCGTCTCCTCTCTTCCCCCTCTCGTCTCCTCTCTCCCCCTCTCGTCTCCTCTCTTCCCCTCTCGTCTCCTCTCTTCCCCCTCTCTTCCCCTCTCTTCCCCCTCTCTCTCCTCTCTTCCCCCTCTCTCTCCTCTCTTCCCCCTCTCTCTCCTCTCTTCCCCCTCTCGTCTCCTCTCTTCCCCCTCTCGTCTCCTCTCTTCCCCTCTCTGTCTCCTCTCTTCCCCTCTCGTCTCCTCTCTTCCCCTCTCGTCTCCTCTCTTCCCCTCTCTCCCCTCCCCTCTCTTCCCCTCTCTTCTCCTCTCTTCCCCCCCTCTCTCTCCTCTCTTCCCCTCTCGTCTCCTCTCTTCCCCCCTTCGTCTCCTCTCTTCCCCTCTCTCCTCTCCCCTCTCTCCCCTCTCTTCCCCTCTCTTCCCCCTCTCGTCTCCTCTCTTCCCCTCTCGTCTCCTCTCTTCCCCTCTCGTCTCCTCTCTTCCCCTCTCGTCTCCTCTCTTCCCCCTCTCGTCTCCTCTCTTCCCCTCTCGTCTCCTCTCTTCTTCCCCTCTCGTCTCCTCTCTTCCCCCTCTCGTCTCCTCTCTTCCCCCTCTCGTCTCCTCTCTTCCCCCTCTCGTCTCCTCTCTTCCCCCTCTCTCCCCTCTCTTCCCTCTCCCCTCTCTTCCCTCTCTCCCCTCTCTCCCCCTCCTCTCGTCTCCTCTCTTCCCCCTCTCGTCTCCTCTCTTCCCCCTCTCTTCTCCTCCTCCCTGCTGTGCTGGAGCAGCCCTTCCTTCCCTTGTTGAGGACAGACCCATTCTGCTTAAATCTGTCTAGTACTAGTTACGTTGATTAATGTTTGCTGCATTAACAGAAATAATTAAAACGGGGTGGAACCAGTGACAAATATTTGGTTATGAGCTTATATGGGTAACAATTTTAAAATTTCAGTAAAAAGGTCCATAACAATTAGTTTAAAAGAAATAGTTTGGTAAAGTACCAGACTCCCCACAGGTTATTTTAGAGTCTTGTTTGCTTATGATCACAAAAGCTGACATTGTGTGAACACAAGAAGACTTTTTGTGTGTGTGTGTGTCTGTCACAGGGGTGGAGTTATGAAAAAGAGAAATGTGTTTGTCTCCAGGCATTCTGATGCTTAGTTTATTACAATATAACGAGGAGTGAGGACAATAGAATAAGTCTTTGTGTTAAATATCTCAGCATAAAACTCTGTGTTGATCTATGTAATCGATCACATGAATCATCAATGTGCTGAATGTTTTAGACATTATGAGTTGGATACACACTAATGTGTGTCACTTAATTAATTTGATGATTTTATGATGAACTCGAACTGAATTTTTGTTTTTCTCTCTTTTGTGCTGAACAAAGGTGTTTGACCAGAGCCGGGTCCAGAGAAAAGAAACAACCTTCATCCTTTCAACAGGTCCAATGAAAACTGCTCTTCATCAGGTGCAGTTTATTCTATCCACAAATGTTTCCCATGATGCACTTGTTTGTATAAGAGGAGATTGCTTCATTACAGACAATGGGCCTCATTTATGAAACTTACGTACGGCCAAATCAGGGTGTAAATGAGGCGTACGCAGAACACTTTTCAGCATTTATCAATCTGGACGTGAGCGTACGGTACGCACAAAATATACGCCAGGTCAGGAGGTGGTGTAAAATAGATGGATACTTTTTTATTATGGTGTCTACAAGGATGCCCAGCCCACATGGGCTTATAAGACACCATTTACACAAATACAGAGACACAGGCCAACATCAGGCACATAAACAGAATCATAAACAAAATCAAACACAAATGCTCTCATTTAAATAGATAAGATTGCTGCTTCCTCAAAGTCTGTGAAAACCTCTGTTTCTAGTGCTAATGGAAGGATTCCGGTACGAAACTGGGCCATCAGAGATCTCTGATTCCTGGGCAAATTTGCTGTGACGTAAAACTCTGTTTTGAAATTTTCTTTTAACTGAATATATGTTCTTAGTTTTAGTTTTGTCAAAATTCCAATTTGCCACTGTTTTTCAAAATTGGCCGCTAATTTTGCTCTAATTCTACTGACGCTGCATGGCAGATTGTTATGAAAAACATACTGGAGTTGTACTTCAGCAAACACAGATCGAAGCTCTGCGGCCCAGGGGGACGTGACTTTGCTCCACTTAACTCATTCACTGCCATTTAAAAAGCAGCATCCCTCATACTGCCAGAGATTTTGGACATTTTTAGTGTTTTTCCGAACCGCATAGAAATGTGAGCCCTTGGTTGAGACAAGTATGAAACATACCAAATGAAAGCTATATCCCTTGGCTTTCATTTAAAAAAAAAGTAAGTTTCTAACCCTTTTAGTTTTTTAGCAATTGAGAGTGCAACATAGGTAACTTTCACACAAAATGCTGTTTCCTGACTAAGATTTGGAGAAAACAGCCTTTTTGTGAAACGCGCATTTTCAAGCAGAAAAGTGGGTTTTTTTTGTCTTTACTGATATTTTACTATGTATGACAGTTTCTTACTATGACACAAAACAGAAACAATACTTTGAATTGTATTTTTAATGTATAATTATTTTTAAACAAATTAAACGTGTACACACAATACACTCAAAGGATTGTCTTATGTACACATAAAATATTCAACTTGTATACAATAAAAACACTTTGTATACAAATATACAGTAAAAATAACACTTTCTGAACACTTTGTGAAACAATTTTAATTTAGTTTATAAAGAATAGTAATTGGGTGACCCCACACTCTGCTGAAGTGTGGGATCTACTTCATCTGCACTCCCAATACATTTCCACATTCGTTTTTTTTTTACAAACCCAGTGAGAAATGTCAAACCAAAAAAGGTTTTTAGCTGCTAGACTGTCACTGGCTTCCATGCATTTTCTCTGCTGAATGGGAGACGCTGTGTGTGTGCACTGAAATATTGTGCTGCATACAGCTTTGTCTGTTCGACAACAAGATCCAGGATCCAGAAGTTCATCAGTTATGAAGAGCTGCAGAAGTCAGCTGCTGATCCAAATCAAGCTCTGCTGCAGCATTTTGGGGTCCTGGGGTCAACAATCTACAACACAAAGGAAAATATAAAATCACCATACATTTTCACATTATAACAAGTGTTTTGGCTTCAGCAGCTATGACATTGAGATAAAAAAAACTCTTCAATATTTGCTAAAAACACTACTTTATGTTTATTTTTACTATAGTATAAGGCAGTGATTGCCATCACTCAGTCCAGAATCTCTCAATGTTTGAACGCAAAATCACGCAGACTCTGGGATCAGAGCAACAGTCAGTCTCTCTCTGTTCCAAAGCAGCAGCGGGCGCGCTCCTGACGCACCCTCCACAGTGAGACGCACCACAGCAGAATGCACATGGTGCGGTAAATCTAACACTTGTTGCTCATGGGTCCCGCTCACCGGTCTGCCATGGATCACCTCCCCCTGTCCCTTCTATAAACCACACGGTAACATCATCCATAGCTCCCTGGCAGCTAATGCTGCATGCCAGACTCACACGCCTCCAAACTGAACAGAGAAACTTTTGGAAAAATGTCCCGCGTAATCAAGCATTTTACCCCGCAATAATCATTCATCAATCAACAATTGCGCGCAAATCCTGGAGGGGCTGATAATTAGACAGAATTAGACAAAGGGGAGAAATAAACTCGTAAATGCAACATGTTGAAGTGAAAAGCAACTTACCACATTACGACGGGGGGAGGAGCCGCTGCTGCCGCTGGACGAGGAGGGAGGGAGAAGCCTCCGAGGATCCTGGAGTCTCTGAGGTTAACTAAAACCTGAAGAACTAGCATCGTGGCATCTAGCTGCTTCATATTTATCCGTTTGATGACTGAACAGGCTCTCAAACAGCGTTAGCTGCGTGAGCTTCTCAGATCCGCGATCCTCTGTGTAAGCATGGCTGCTCCTCTGGCTGTTTGCTGCTCACAGCACCACATGCCCCCTTCTCCCTCCCTGGATCTGGCCACAGTGTCACCTCTGCCCCCTACAGGATCGGTTCCAAAGTGTTTACAGGTCTGAAATGTTGACACAGGGTGCACAAGAGCCTTGACGAGCCATAGAAAGAAAAAAACGAAAAAAAAGTGATAGACGTCAATGGCGGTGAATGAGTTAAGGACCTTTTTTGTTAATCTGTTGTCTGGCATATTAATGATTCCATTCCACAATCTAACCATGTCACATTTTCTTTGGACTGTTCCAGGAACCCAGCCCATATCCCTCTGTGCAGCCAGAACAGGAACAAACTTGTGAACTCCAAAAAGAAGTGGATTGCTGTTTTCTTCTCTAAAAATCAAGAAAACACCAGCAGCAAAGGTTAGAACAGGAGAAACACAGGCCTCATACAACCAAGAGTATGTTCTAAAACCAAGATCTTTACATACTTTACTTTTGTTTATCACACAGCCTAAAGCACGGCTGGCAGAGTCCGCAAGAACTTTGACTCCACAATCAAAACTCATAAACTCACTGAATGTGTAACTCCGATATTTATACTCGAGCTTAAGAACATTTTTGCTTAATGGGATTGACTTCCTCCTGAAACGAAAAAATCTGAGTTTTAGTTTGATTTATGGAAAGTTTCCACTTATAACACCAGTCTTGTAACTGATTCAGCCATGAGTGCAACATCATCAGCATAAAGCAGAATGGCTGCTGTGTCTGAGTCCATACGGATACCCATGTTCAATTGTTATATTTCCAGAGCCAAGTCGTTGATAAAAAGTGAAAACAGGTTTGGAGACAGACTGTCCCCTTGTTTTACACCAGAGGGTATTGGGAACCAGTCAGTCTGGAGCTCATTTAATTGGACACATCCGATACAGTTTGTATACAGTGATTTTAGTGCTTTATAAAATCTCCCATCAACCCCAGCCTGAAGAAGTTTCAAATACAGTAGATCTCTGTTTACCCAATCAAAAACTTTTTTAAAGTCTACAAAACCTAGAAATGTGGATTTGTTTTCAGCCAATCGGGTTCTGACAATAGTTGAAACAGCAAAAATGTGGTCAATACATGCTCTGTGTTTTCTAAATCCATTTTGTTCATCCACCAACAAGTCGGTATCTTCAATAAAATCAGTCAGTCTAGTATTTAACAAACTAGAATACATTTTATAGACTGTACTTAACAAACTAATCCCTCGATAATTAAATGGCACTTTAGGATCATCTTTAGATGCTTCGGTTATGGGTTTGATTATGGATTTATACCACACTGAGGGAATAAGGTTGTTGTCGAAACAGAATTTGAACAAACAGAGAATATTTAGGAGATGTGGAGATTTTAACACTTCATTAGGGATGTCTTCTATTCCCATTGCTTTCCTGAGTTTTGCCCGATTCACAGCATCACCTACTTCTTCCACAGTAATGTCAAAGTTCAAAAACATATTTGGCGGATAACAATCTTGACACATAACTGTTTCTAAGTCTAGTTTTGTTGTCAGTATAATATTACTAGTGTTGGAATCGGGACTAGTCCCTCAGCATAAAGGTCTGAAAAATCATGTTGCCATTTTGCAAGAACTTTCTCCTTTTTCTGCTCCACATCACCATTGTCTAGAATGACTTCAATTGGAATTTTCTGTGTTTGAGGAACCAGTTTATTTATCAGCTTCCACAACTGTTGTTGGGTTGTTGGTTTGTAAATAGTCTATCTTTAATACTTGTCCCCTTTGAAATCTTCTTACAGGTTCTGAAATGCTTTTCAAAAAGAGACTGTTTCCACCTGTACTTGTCCCTCAAACCTTGTTTGTCTT